TTTGACACAATCTGTATTGTTAAAAGCGCTATATAAATAAAGGTGACTTGACTTGACCCTTCTTGACACTAGGCCGTTGTAGAAAAGTCTTGGCCTCACTGTGCGTGCAGATGCTCTCACACTAACCTGCTGCCATTCCTGAGCAAGCTCTGCACTGGAGGTGACACGATTCCATAGCTGACTCCTCGGGAGGAGACGGTCCTGGCGCTTGCTTGACACTCTGGGACGTCCTGAAGACTTCTTCACTGCAGTCCAACCTCTCTCCTTCAAGTTCTTGATGAGCCGGTAAATGCTTCTTTCAGGGGCAATATTCTTTGTAGCGGTTTCCCTGCATGTGAGGCTATTTTGATGCAAAGCGATGATGGCTGCACGTGTTTCTTTGGGGGTAACCATTGCTAACAAGAACACAATGATTGGAAGCGCTTCTTCCCTCCTTTTATAGCAATCAGTCTGCTCTTACAATCTAATTAGTATGATAGTGATTTCACCTGACTAGTACTCATTCACACTTTCACATGTGCTGCTGATATGATTAGTCAATTAATGTTAGCTAGTCATTTTGTGTTAGGATCAAAAAACAGTGAAATTTGTTTTATTGTGAAAAGTTCATTTTTTGGCCAATTAAGCTTTTAGCAATTGTCTAAAATGCATCTGATCACTCTACATAATAATCTAGAAACAATGTGAATGAACACCACAAAAGCTTAAAGGGGTCATATGATGCGATTTCAATTTTTCCTTTCTCTGCCGCCGCCGCCATGCCGTGGAGACACTGTTTCATTGTGAAAGCGAAACTACTTTGGTTGGCCTTCCAAAAGAGGATGATATCCGCTTCGTCATGCCAGAGCTGATCTGTGCTGGTCGCTGAGGGAAATACATCAACTTAGTGCTGTGGATCGCCGGATCGGCTTTCACCGTGGACGAAGCTGAGGAAATACATCATCTTGGCGCTGTGGATCGCCGGATCGGCTTTCACTGTGGACGAAGCGGAGTCCAGTCCGGGGTCGTCACATGTGGTTGCCGCAAGCCCGCCGGCCGCTCCTTCGTCGAATCCGCCGGCCACGCCATTCGCAAGCTCACCGGCCTCCTCTCACTCAGCCCACCGGCCGTTCCTCACTCTAGCCCCCGGCCTCTGCTCACTCTAGGTCGCCGCCGCTGCTCACTCTAGCCCACCGCCGCGTGTGACGATGTGTTTCGTTGTGAAAGCGAAACTACTTTGTTTGGCCTTCCAAAACAGGACACGACTGGAAATCATTGGTTAAGTTGTATTTACAACACTGTTCCAGAACACTTCAACCCAAATATTCAGATGTGTCCAGCGCATTTTATGGAGGACTGTTTACTGATCCTGGTAGAGTAGACTACAATGCTGGCTGTAAGTACGTTTTTTATATTTAAAGAATTTGCCTCTGATGATTCAAACACGAGTTTTGGGAAGTGTAGAGTAGCACCTTGTTTTTTGTAATTTCTCAGATCACAAATGCAGACATGGTTTAATGTTACGCTCCGGCCGGACAGGGCATCACAGTATGGCAAGGGGCGTAACATTTCCGTCACACACTTGAGGTATTCGGCCAATCACAACGCACTGGATAGCTGGCCAATCAGAGCACACCTCGCTTTTCAGACCGTCAGAAAGGCGGGGCATAGAGGAGAAACAATGATGTACAGTATGTGGAAAATAATGTGTTTTTTGAACCTTAAACCGCATAAACACATTTCATTACACCAAATACACAAAATAATGTTCTTTTTAGCAACATCATATGACCCCTTTAAGCAGCAAACTTTGCAAAACACAAAATTTGTCACTGCCAAAACATTTGGCCATGACTGTATATGTTGGCGTATAAAAACCACCAACAGACACACATTGAAGACTGAAATGATCTAAAGAAACTCTGAATGGAGTCTGAACATTTAGCCTTTCAAGCAGAATTACCTGCAGAAAAAAAATATATATATATACAGGTGCATCTCAATAAATTAGAATGTCGTGGAAAAGTTCATTTATTTCAGTAATTCAACTCAAACCGTGATCATTATTACACTAAAAGACAGGAGATGCTCACCATTGACCATAACAGTGAATCTTTTGTATGAGGGCCAACTTCCTCTGTGGCAGTGCTTGATCTGTAGTATATAGACTCCAGCGTGTCCAAATTCAATGTTTCTGATGGTCAGGGATCCAGTCTCATCCAGCATCAGTCTGTCTGTGAATCTCCCATCAGCACCATCAAATGTCTCTCTGGTCCCTTCTCTGAATTCAGCGATACGAGCATCTTGAGCTTCATATGTCCAGAGGATCTGATCTTCTGCCTCTATATCAGCATCAGTGTGAAGTGTGACATCATCTCCCATCTTCACTATCACAGTCTTCTTTTCATCTTTCACTGCACACAAATCATCAATGACTTGAGAAGACTTTGATATAGTAAATGAGTCATACATTATATTTTTATCACAGATGACACTTATTAATACTTATACGTGTTTGACAGACATGGTCCCGCCCGAGTGCAAGGAAATAACCATCTAAATCAGCAGGTATCAATTGTCTATATTCGTCATTCAAAAAACGGAAATAAGGACTGCAGATATACAAACGGTAAACAAAGCAGCGCATACTTTTTGAATATCGATCATGCTGTGCACTTTCTTAATTTCAGGCGGCTCAAATGTTCTTGTATTAAAAAGCTTAGGTAAGATGATTTAAAAATTTGAACAGCCTTCTGTCTCTGCGATCATGACTTCTTTGCTTGCTTTCATCACTTTCGCTTTTATCCTTGTGCACGCTTCCATTTACTAAACTGAACAGCCAATCAGAGTGATTTCTCTCACCGACAGCCCCAACCCAGATTGGGAGAACTCCTGCCGATGTGTCGAACACACCGCAAAAACCTAGCCCGACGGCTAACCATCAGCTTGATGCGTCACGGCCCTAAGAGGTCATTGTACTATAAAAGTGTAAGTTTCAGAACTCAAAACTTCCTTGTTAGTCCAAAAGCTGCTTTTATTGAAAGCAAGCCGACAAAACGAGTCGTTTCGGATTTTGTCTCAGTATGATGTAATAGTGTGACAAAAGACCGCCTCTGCAGAAGATAATCAACACCTACTTCTACATCATTGCCTCTTTAGTCCTGCCCACATTCACGCATTCATTGCGCTAAATCAATCACAAACAGAACTTGTAAAACAGTAGAACTACTGACGGTGAAAAATCATATTATACATTTACACTCTACTAAACCACAATAAATTATTTTTCTCATGATGTATCAATTGTAATACTTACATATTCTTATTTGTAGTTCAGAGATCTTGCGGCGATAGTAAAAAACAACAATTACAATCACCAGCAGGAAAACAACAAATATTCCTGCTACAGCACCTGGAGACACACCTGAACCTGTAATGATAAAGACAGATGGTCATTATGAATGTGTCTGATCTATAACAAACACTATAAACATCAGTGCTACATAACCTGAGTGAAGATCTGATACTGTAACAATAAAGACAGACAGTCGTTATGAATGTGTCTGATCTATAACTAACACTATAAACATCAGTGCTATATAACTTGAGTGAAGATCTGATACTGTAATGATAAAGACAGATGGTCATTATGAATGTGTCTGATCTATAACTAACACTATAAACATCAGTGCTATATAACTTGAGTGAAGATCTGATACTGTAATGATAAAGACAGATGGTCATTATGAATGTGTCTGATCTATAACTAACACTATAAACATCAGTGCTATATAACTTGAGTGAAGATCTGATACTGTAATGATAAAGACAGATGGTCATTATGAATGTGTCTGATCTATAACTAACACTATAAACATCAGTGCTATATAACTTGAGTGAAGATCTGATACTGTAATGATAAAGACAGATGGTCATTATGAATGTGTCTGATCTATAACTAACACTATAAACATCAGTGCTATATAACTTGAGTGAAGATCTGATACTGTAATGATAAAGACAGATGGTCATTATGAATGTGTCTGATCTATAACTAACACTATAAACATCAGTGCTATATAACTTGAGTGAAGATCTGATACTGTAATGATAAAGACAGATGGTCATTATGAATGTGTCTGATCTATAACTAACACTATAAACATCAGTGCTATATAACTTGAGTGAAGATCTGATACTGTAATGATAAAGACAGATGGTCATTATGAATGTGTCTGATCTATAACTAACACTATAAACATCAGTGCTATATAACTTGAGTGAAGATCTGATACTGTAATGATAAAGACAGATGGTCATTATGAATGTGTCTGATCTATAACTAACACTATAAACATCAGTGCTATATAACTTGAGTGAAGATCTGATACTGTAATGATAAAGACAGATGGTCATTATGAATGTGTCTGATCTATAACTAACACTATAAACATCAGTGCTATATAACTTGAGTGAAGATCTGATACTGTAATGATAAAGACAGATGGTCATTATGAATGTGTCTGATCTATAACTAACACTATAAACATCAGTGCTATATAACTTGAGTGAAGATCTGATACTGTAATGATAAAGACAGATGGTCATTATGAATGTGTCTGATCTATAACTAACACTATAAACATCAGTGCTATATAACTTGAGTGAAGATCTGATACTGTAACGATAAAGAAAAACGGTCATTATGAATGTGTCTGATCTATAACAAATACTATAAACATCAGTGCAATATAACCTGAGTGACGATCTGATACTGTAACGATAATGACAGTCATTATGAATGTGTCTGATCTATAACAAACACTATAAAC